TTTTTTTTTTGCTGAACATGAACATGACACATAAACGCGTTGATCATTTTAGGCTTAGTTTGTTAAGGGCTACTACTTCTAGTTAAAAACTATGCAAGTACAATGTGAATGAGGCACTTGAATGCAGCACATCTGGATCTACAGATATGCTATACACATATATAGTTCCGTTATATTCGCAGATATATTTGATTGTAGTCAAGAGACGATTTAACAATTTGTTTCAATTACAATTTCCTTTCGAGTTTTGTAAATGCTTAAATTGGGATATTGCTGTTGCTCTATATACATTGCACCTGTGTGTGTATGAGTGTGTCTGTGAGTGTGTGTGAGTGTGTGGGTAAGTGTGTATATGTATGTACATTTAATTATTGCACGCCTTAAACATAAACATTATAAATATATATCTGTAAAAAAAAAGCAAAGGGAGGAAACTAAACAGAGTAACGGAAGCTCAAGAACTTCATTTGCTTTTAGTAGAGCACATCATAAATAAATGTAGAATTCTTTCTTATTTTGGGGGTTTTCTTGGAAGAGTTAGGATATAAGTTGAACGGGCATTGGAGTTATTACAGTTATTAATATTAAAGTAGCATCAAATGTGATTACGATTAGTATTTAGTTGTATGTTTTATGTTACACAAGGCACGTTGATGGGATAGTTGGCTCTAGCTCTAGGTCTAGCTCTGGATCTGGGCTGGCTCTAGCTCTAGCTCTAGCTCTGGATCTGGGCTGGCTCTGGCTCTGGCCCCTCACTGATACCAGGGCTGGCGACGCACCCATTGCAGTCGATTGCTGGTCTGATCGGAGCGTATCTTAATGCTAGCGCCCTCAGCAGCGCGCACCGTTTCCTTGACCTGGAATAGATGAAGAGTCATTCAATTAGGATCCACTCCCATACTTGATCATCATTCAGCTACGTACGCTTTGCATCAGATTCTGGGCATTGCCCACCAGCATCTCGGTCGCCTCGCGATCCTCATCGGAGCCCTGGGCGCCCAGCATGGTCGCCTTCACCGTGGACAGGATCTTCAGCTGGGTGCCAATCGTCGGTATGCGCTCGCAGACCTGCAACAGATTCGTCCGGATGCGCCGATCGGTGCACTGGCGCGCCAGCTCCTTGGCCAGGCGGGTGACATCCTCCGATGCCTCGGCAATCATCTTGGCCGTGGCAATCAGCTCACGCTTGCTGCCACGCGAGTCGGAGAGCACCAGCTCGCTCAGCCTGGCCATGAGTTTGGCCATGCGCTTGGCCGCCGCGATGATTTCGTTGTCCTTCGATGACCACTGACGCACCTCCTGGTGCAGGCCGCGTGCGGCAATCTGCAGAAACAAGCGCATTAGTCTCGGACCCATGGAGTTGCTATTTACCCTGCTTGGAGGCTTACCAGTATGGGCTGATTGGCATGCGGCATCGTGCGGAAGACGCCCTCGTCCTCGTCGTCCGTCTCCGGCGGTGGTGGACGCACGGGCGCCAGGCCCTCGCGCGGCAGTGGGGGACGCGGTGGTGCACGCTCAGCTGTCAAATAGAGAGAGAGAGAGAGGAAGAGAGAGCGAGAGAGAGGAACAGCATTAGCGATAGCCCAATTCGATTTCATGGACTCATCACCCACCATTCTGATTGGACAAATGCAGCGCACTGAGCTCCGGTATGGGCGGCGGCAGCGATGTGGGCAGTGGCGGCGGCTGCGGCGGCGCAATGGCATCGCGCACCTCACGCACATCGCCCAGCAGACGCTGGAATGATTTCTTCCAGGCGGCAGCCGCAGCCGGATCGGCAATATTCGTGGCCACCAGCTTGGCGTCGCCCACCATGGCGGGCAGCGAGCGCTCCAGGTTGTTGGCGGCCGCATTCAGGCGTTCGGTGAAGATGGGATCCTCCGAATTGTCCGCCTCCTGCTTGGCCACCAGCAGCACCCGATTGATCAGCCGTGCTATGTTCGAGGTGTTGTCCACCATCTTCTGGGGCTGGCGCGCATGGATGGCATCCTCGCAGAGCTTGGCATACACCTGCATATGCTCCTCGGATGTCTTGATGAAGTCAGCCGGATCGGTGGCCTGGTCGCAGAGCGTACGCATGCGCAGCACCGTATCCGCATACTGTTGCTTCAGATTCTGCAGATGCTCGTCGGCCGCCTTGCTGGCCGGATAGTTCATCCGAATGCGTCCGGCGTTGATCAGCTGCGGCGTCAGCGAGTCCACCTGGGCAGCCGACGACAGCAGAATCTCGGCAATCTTCTTGTTGCCACAGGCACCGCCGGCGGCGACCATGCGCGAGGTCTTCGAGGCGCGATCGCTGAAGGCCTGCAGATTGTTCGACTTCTGGTTAAAGTTCTGCTCCCGTCCGGGCGTGCCCTCCGGCAGCATCACAGCCTCCGTGAACTGTTTGAGCGGTGTGCTCACATCCATGAAGTCCTGCACGATGCGATTGACCAGGGCGTTCTGCACGGCGGCCTTCAGCTCGTACAGCTTCTGGGTCAGCTGCTTGGCGGCCTGCTTGGCAGCTGGCCCGGTGCCGGCCGCTTGGCGCTTGAGGCGCTCCACCTCGTCGCACAGCTGCATGATCTCGGCCTTTTGGTGGCCCGGACAGCCCTCGGCCACCTTGCGTCCCTCCTCGACGATCAGATTGATCGCCCGCTCGCCGAGGCCGCCATCATTGACCTCGGGATTCTGCAGCCATTTGACCGCCTGCTCGAGCCGGCCCTGAATGGTGTGGGCGGTCTGCTGGACGCCCGCCTTGTCCACGCCGGAGACCGCCTGCCGCACCAGGCCCTGGAGCTCGCCGAGGCGCGCCCGTATGCCAGTGGCCAGGTCGACGGCCTGCGGCGAGTTGCCTTTGCCCTCCTGGCGCAGCTCGCACAGATTGTTCGCCATGGCGCTTATCTCGTCCGCCAGCTTCCGGATCGGATACGAGTCCTGGGGCAGGCAGCGCTCCGATATCTCATTGGCATTGTCGATGACCTGACGCAGCGCCTTCTCGCCGACGCCGCCGCGCAGGGCATAGGGATTCGAGAGCCATTCGTTGGCCAGCTCCATTTTGTTGGTGATCGCGTTGCTCAGCTTCTTCAGCACGGTCAGGTTGTCCAGCTCGCTGGTGTCCTCGTCGTAGGTGGTCAGCTGCAGGACTCGTATGATCTCCTGCAGTTCGTCGGACATGCGGGCGGCCAAATAATTGCGATTCTCGGCCGCTTCCTCGGCGCCCTTGCCCTGCTGCTCGACAATGTGTATGTAGACCTTCATGCTGCAGATGAGGATCGGCGCCAGGGTCTTGACCTGCTCGAGGCAGCGGACGAGAATCTCGCTGTGCACCTGGTGGGTGAGCTCCTTCTCGCGGGCGGACACCTCGCGGGTCACCTTGCTGAGGCAGGGCGACAGATCCTTGAGGAACTGCACCAGCTGCTCCATGGTGCCGATGATCTCGGCCACGGCCAAGTAGTCAAGCACACGCTTGCACTCCTGTATGATCTTCCGCACCTCGCTCTCGTCGAAGCAGAGCAACAGCGAGGAGGTGCCCTGCAGTATGCCGCGGCTTCCCTCAATTAGCTTCTTGCGCGCCGGCCCCGAATACGGATCCGAGCGCAACATATCGGAAGCCTCCTCCAGCAACTGCGAGGCAGTCTCCACGCGATGCAATGCCGCCGGCATATCCTGCCTCAATATCTTGTCGTCCGAGCTGTTGATCGTCTCCCGTCCAACCTTCACCAGATTCGCCACTGCCGCCGAGACCACCTGAACGGGCCGGCTAAGGTCGGGCATGGCGTTGCCATCCTCGGCCTCCTCATGTAATATCACCAAGCGAGATACCTAAACGGGACGAAACCAAATTCCCATTAGCTTCTGCTTTCCATTCTTCCGCACTTTACTAAATCTACTGCAGCTACCAGAGTCTAAGCAAGCTCTACTGCTCAATGTGCTTTCAGCTCTAAGCAAACTTTAAGCTTTGAGTGCTTGAATTGCAGCTTTGACTTAATTTTCTACTTCACTTGTATTCGGCAAGCTTTAAGCTGTGTTCATTGACTTTATGCTCTGTAGTTGAGCTTAAAGCTTGCACAACTTACAATTGCAAAAATATTAACTCAAGAGCGCTTAGCTAAAAGCTCTATAGAAAGGCTTCAAGTTTAATGTTTGAGTTATGTTTATACACATAATTAAAATACACATAAATTAAAATAGCAAACTTTAAGCATTTATATAGAGCTTTAAGCCAAGCGCTATTGAATGAATGTATTTAGAGCTTTAAGTTACTTGCAACAAATATCAAATTAATTAGTTAACGATTTTACTTTTTAAAGTGATATGCTTTAAGCTCTGAGCAAGACTTAAAGCTTTGTCTTGTTGTCTACTATGAAATTTTAGCTGTGAACAAAAAATTTAATAAATGAACTCATAAATTTTCTTACAACATAACATAAAATTAAATAGAGAGCTTTAAGCTTTCAATGAACATAGTTTAGACTGCTTAAAGCTTCAACGAGCTTTAAAGTAATAATTCAAGTAATTTTAACTGAAACATATATGTTTGCCAGAAAGTTTACTTGTTAACCTATTAGCTTATTTGGAAATAAAACCCTTTTACTTTTCAAAGTAGGCAAAAATATATAGATATTTGAAAGCTCGTAATGCTCATTGAATTATTTTACAGGCTAGAATTCAATTAGTTAGTTGGATTATTGTTTACGGCCAGATGGATTATAATTTTATTTATAAACTCAGCATAACTCAGAGATTTAACGACCTTAGCAGCCAGTGTCATTGCGTCATAGCCAAAAGCAGAGCTACAAGTGTTACACGCTCTCTCTCTTTCTCTCGCTCTCGCTCTCAATTAATCGCACTCGCTCTTGCTCTGCCTCTCCCTCTCCCTCTCTCTCTGCAACTATTGGCTAATAGCTTTACCAGAGACCATAACGAGTCTAACAAATCATTCATCAGTTGGAATTGAAGCGTGGGACTCGGACTTGGACTTGGACTTAAACTTGGAGATCGCATTGATATCGATGCGAAATCGATATGGAGACAACTTGTTTTTGCCGGTTTCGTTTCGCTCTAAACTATTCGACTTCTCAGCTATTTTTAGGCATGAACTGTTTTGTCCGACTGCTCCCCCACACATGAAACGAAACTCAGCTGATGCGAGCCAGATACGGATCGAGTTGATAAGAGCAGCTCACAAGGGTTCTTCAGGCGAATCTACTATTCAAGTGAGCTGATCCAGTTTTATCATGAACATCATCTTATTACAGTAGTACAGTTCATTTCGTTTACATTTTTGTATGCGTCAATATTCTAAGAATTTTTATATTCTTATAAAATTCAACAGTTTTCAATTTGAAAGAAAAAAAAAATCGGAAACCCTAAGAGCTTTATGATTTTCCAATTTTCAACCATCCATTTTAATTTTCTTTTTTTTTCAAATATGTATTATTATTTATATAATTAAAAGTAATAGATGTCTTTCTAACTTATTTCCTTTTTAATTTTAAAATTCAAATACTATGTATATTTGATAAACTACGTTTAAAGTACAAATTCAAAAAAAAAAAAAAAATTTAATTTGATAACTTAAAAAAAAAAAAAACAAAAAAACAAAAAAAA